TGACTGCTGCGCCCCTTCCTTAGTACCTCTTTCACGATGGGTCCTGTACCTTTTGACATACTATGGCCCTGAGCTCGGCAGAGCAGCACGACCTGCCAACACTGAGAGCAGCCACCATCCGGGCTGATGTGTCAGGGGGATGGACGTTTGACCATTCCTCTCTCCCACCTACCATGGGGATTTAGACAGTTACTTCTGGAGGCCTCGTCTTAACCCAGCACTTCCCAAACTGTGCTCTGAAGGGTGTTAATGGATGTAACTCCTCACTGTGCCCCCAAAAGAGAAAAGAGAAAAGGTTTTATTTATGGTCACATATGTTTGAGAGACATGGGTTAATCAGAATTAAATTGATTTATTTATTGCAGAATTTCTCAGAATTTTCTTGTGACTCTCCAAGATGTAGAATATAGAATTTCCTACATTTTGTATTCCTTCAGTTGAGGAGAAATGTCTATCAACATCCCTTGGGCAGTGCTGTCTTAAGAAGAGGAGAGACAAGAGAATCTAATGTCATAGGAGACAACCGGATATTGAGGGGAAATCTGTAAGCCACATTTGGGATCCCTAAATTCCAGTCCATCCTCAAACCAATGGTCATTGGGATGTTGGAGCCTCGGATCTCTCATTTGTGAAATATGGAGGATAGGACTGGATTATCTCTAAACTCTTTTCATCTTTATAAGCTGCTGACTGATTGTTTATACCCTACCTTATTCCAGAAGGGCTTTAAGAATAAGATATAATATACAATATATCACATAAAAAATCCATGGGGCTAACATGAGACACGGGGAATGTAAGGTAGGAAAGATGGAGGAAGGAGGGAGTTTAGTATGCAAAATGAATTCCATGAAATCTAGACATGATAGAACCAGATTTTGTTCTGTGCTTTCTAAGGAACAGTTTGAAAGAGGAAGTATAATCGCAGCTTCATAAGCTGAAAACAAACAAATTTTTCCCGTGGTTTTTAACTCTGTGGGTCTCTTAGGTAGAAATTTTGGCTCTGTGGCAGGATGCTATGAAAGAGATTCGGAGCCTCAGGAGATATGCCTCATAGGTAGCTGTGAACACGTCATCCTCATTTACTGAATCATTACATGTTGTTGCCCTGCCCTGCTTTGGTGCATGTGGAGATGTTTGGGTCTCGGCTCTGGGCTCTGTAGGAGGCGCTGTAGGACAGAAGGCCGGGGGTCTCAGTTGCTCTCCGGGGTGGATGG